TTTCCTTTTCATCTTTTTGGGTATGAAAGTTACATTGAATTAGGGCTCAGTGTTTATCTTGAGTAAATGTTCTTTGCAGTTGTGGCAATATTGTTGAAATTTACTTTGAAGTTTATTCTTAATACCTCTGCTTGCGAGAGAGGTTTTATGCAATGGGTAGAGTTTGCTTGTCTGTTTGTTAGTTTTTGTAGCTCATGCCATAACTCACAAAACGATGGGTGGATTTGGACAAAATGGCACAATAAACGAGTGATTACAATTTTTGAATTTGGATTCGGATCACTGTTTGGATGTAGGAATTTAATAAGGAATATATTGCTGCTCTTTTGCCCACTGTCGCCACGCTTTTTTAAACCCTGAATTACTATGGACTTTTCAAATCAAACTTAAATACTGAAACGTTCACATCAAGCAATCAGTTAAGAGGAAAAAACTAAATAAAGCCTTTTGGCAGAGGTCTGTGCTCTACTACTGCTCTCCTTTTCTAGTTGTTCCTGTACACTGTTGAATCAGTCTGTTAACGGCTAGTTTTTGCTTCCTTATGCTTTTTTTGCGGGATAGCTTTAATGACAAATATTAACTGGGATCATCATGCTGTAATTGTGTCAGAGGCATAAACAATATTATCATTTATTGAAAAATACTGTCCATCAAAACGTGTTCTTTAGACAGCCCTGTTCAAAAGCAACTTTGTGTGCGTTCTATAAAATACACCGAGCTATTACCGAGTAGCCATAGTGTTTGGCTAGACTCCGAGGTCATTATGCAACATTACCCAGTCCCATAAATCCTGATAAACGATCTAACCACTATCTGTAAACAGTCCAGCCCAGACTATTGTATTCCTCCGTCAACATGATTTGTGGCCTGCAATAAATTAACAGAAACTTTTCAGATGAGTTGTTAGTGCATGATAAACTGAATGACTGGAGGTGGTTCGGAGAGTGAAAGGATAAGGCGAATAATAAAATCTGTTCTATTTTGATCAAGATGATACGGAAAGGATAAGAACCAGTAGTTTGGGCAGGGTTATATGGGCTACTGCGTCCACTGACGATTGTATCATGTACGTATTAAGATTTATAATAAAGTATGTGTTTTGCAATTCATTATTCAAAGGGACAGTATGCAATAATTATATTTTAATCAATCAACATTTAAAAATCATATTTGACCTTATATGAACAGTTTAAAGCAGGGGTGTCCAAACATTTTAGTAAGAGGGCCACTTTAGTTCACCAGACTCGTCCAGTGGAACAACGTCGCGGAGTGAAAAAACTGTCTTGTCTGGCATCGGGCTGTTGTTAGCTTTAACATGAACTATTACAGAGCTGAAGTTGGCTGAATGACAAAATGTTACCATCTAACCAGCTCACAAGTCAACGACTCAACTCCAGATGTACTGGGCTTTAGGACAAGATCTATATTGGGTGAGCTTAAGTTGGATGGATGACACAGTGAACTTGTGTTTAGGATCTCAAAGACTATTTTGGGTTAGCAAGGCAGAGGGCCACATAAAATGACACAGGGGGCCGCATCTGGCCCCCGGGCCTGAGTTTGGCCAGGCCTGGTTTAAAGGGAAGCGTTATTCTAAAGTATTCTGGACATGATGTCGATAATATTTATGTTTTTTATATTTATTTATTTATTTATTATATGAGTGATCCCGGTCTGTGTATGACGTTATACAAATAAACTTTAATTACTTACATACTTAAATTCACACACACAAAAATAGCACCACACAGATTTAAATGAAAGCAGGTACAAAAATAATAATAATACTGTTTTCAGTCAAACCCCAGCAGCTAGATTCCATCAGTAATTGTTGTTTAGGAGCTACATGTGTCACAAAGAAAGATACTGGAAACAGCATTTGGATTGTAAATGCATGACACCATGTTACTGAGCCTTTTATACTATACTACAATTATAAAGACACTATGAGATATTAAACTTTATTTGGTTAAAATCTCAATAAACCAATTAGAATATGCATTTGCCTAGTTAGAGGATGTGATAATAAGGTCGCTGATGAGAGTGTTGAGTGGAGCCTGGTGTGACCGGGCAGCACTGGGGCATGTTTGCAGCGGTGTGGTGCAGATGACAGGGCTCCTGAGCGGATGATAGACTGACCAAAGATCCCTCAGCACCAAGCAACATCAAACGTACAGCAGACAAAACAATCGACCGCCTGAATAAAAACACAGAACGCTGAGGCTTGACCCAGTGTAGAACCGGGAGGGGAGCACCACGTGGACACCGGCCGGACAATATGAGTGACCCACAGCTTTGACTATGTGTATGAGAGAGATTATGATGTAAATATATGTCACAATACTATTTTCAAACTTGACTTTGATAATAGAAAAAATGCCAACTTTAACCCAACTGTAATTATGTATAGATATATATTGGACTAAGCACTGGACTCAAAATAAAAGTACTTTGTATGGGGCCACAAGGTTGTATACAAGCTCTTCTGATGTTTTTTTATCCCTTGAAAATCTTCCTGAAAATGTGAGACAGGCCTCCTCCCAGACAATGTTTAAAACCAGGTTAAAACAGTTCTGTTTAGCTGTGCATACAACTGAGGGATTTCATATTTTTATCTTTCTTTTTAATGTTCTGTGATTATTTATGATTTTAATGCTATCTTGTCTTGTTCAGCACTTTGAGTTGCCGTGTGTATGAATTGTGCTATACAAATAAACTTGCCTTGCCTTGTTAGACTGTAGTGGGTCTAACAAAAAGGACTGTGGTGACACTCTAACATTTATCAACATTTATAGACATTGGTCAACTCTCCCTATGGACCAATACCTATGTGTTCTCTATTTTTTGTGTTTAAACTGTTGAATTCTCTGATCTGTGTTGGCGATTTCAACAGTTTTGTTAAGTCCTCTGAAATGACTACTGTTTTGATTTAGGGCTATACAAGAAGAAAATTGAATTGAATAAAAAAAATATTTAGTATCTATAAAGCTCAAATTAGTGTCTATAGCTTCAATTCTAGTTTTAGCATTTAAAAATATCTACAACACAACCCTAATCTCAATAGCTAATATCTGAAAGAAGAATTATTGGGTCTGGCACTGGCAAAACCAGAGCATTTCCAACGTAATTTAGACAAAAGACTAATGCCATCAAAGGCTGTATCCCCATAAGTATGTCTTGGTCTGGGGCATCAGTGGAGAATTACCACAGCAGGCTAATGTCCAGTTGTGTGAAGTAGGTCAGTGCGATGCTCATTGTTCCTTCTCACACTCCTCACAGAAGACGCACACAGACACTAGCCGTGCCGCTAACAGGCATTATCAGAGGGGCTAATGGCTCCTGAGCTTTTGAAAGAGCGGCCTTTAGTGGAGAATGGGATCACAGTGAGGAGGCCGCAGGGCTGGAGATAAGCCGGCCCCAAAACATGCACACAGGGACAACGACAAAAATATCTTCAGGGCAGCAAGATCTTGGAGTATTTTGCATTTTTGATCTCACACGGTTTTGACAGAAGCATATTCCGTGACATGGTCCAACAAAAAGACTTTATATTAAGATTTAGAGATACGTTATTCGTCCCACAATAAAGACATTTCAGTGTTGAATCATCAGTTATGGAACAGAAGGAATGAGGAGCACACAACACAAGATAAATGAACAATAACTCAAAACTAAAATTAAATAAAAAACTCTAACTTTAGCATAGTAAAGAAGCAAGTAAAACATCTATAGCTTTAGGATAATTAGGAAGAAAATCTAAAATCTCCAACTTTACCATAATGAGGAAGCCATTAAGTATAACAAATATTAGGAGTGGCCGAGTGTGTGTTAGCCTTATTTTGAGCAGGAATGGGGTTTTTTTCAGCAGCAACGGTCAACGAGTCACCAAGCGCCAACTGGGAGCAGCTGCGTTCTCAAACTGTAGCTATGTCCATCTATATACAGTCTATGCTCATTTGCATGACTGTGCACTTCAATGTTTTTAATTATTTCTGTGTATGTGTATTAACTTATCATGTGTGTACATTCCTTCACTGGTGGAGTTGCTCTAATTTCATTATGCATGTGTATAGTGACAAATAAAGTCTAATCTAATCTAATCTAATCTACTCAAAATAGTGATCCTGGTACAAGTATTCCCTTTGAAGGTTTTAGTTATTTCATTTCCATTTGAAAAGGGTGTGTTTGTCTGGAATGCAGGCAACAACAAAATCCAATACTTTTCCCATGTGTATTGTTGTTTCTATCCGGCATTTTTTGCTCTCAATTTCTAATTTAAAATATTAAACATGCTAAAGAATGTTGTGACTCTGTTTCTCTCAAAACTAACTTTCTTGGTTGGTGGTAACAAGTCAACACCTATTGAAACCATTGACCTATTCAACACACCCTGTCACCTCTCTGGAATTCCAATCTTTGGCATCAAAACTGTGACTTGACCTATTCGTCCTTTCAACAGCTGTGATTAAAAAAGGTGAAGTGAGAGGATTAACACAAATAAACAAGCAGAAGGCAAACTCGTCTCGAACAACAGCAGCCAGTCCCACTAATCGATCCAGCAGTAACTTGACACAGCCCATTTCAAACGCACACAAAGCCAAATAAACGTGAATATAAAATTATTTCTCACAGCAACACTGTCAAAACAAGCATACCGCTGACGGGCAAAGTCACAGACGTACACACACAGTCACATTCACAAACACACACAGTTAAATTAGAGGGTGATTGACAGCTCATATTATAGGCAGAGCAGGCCCAGGCACGGCAGGAGGAGGGGAGGCCATGAGCAATTAGAGACATTTTTGTGGGTGATAATAGCTGTGTACAAGTCTATAAAGGCTATTGATGGCAGCCGTGCAGATGAGCAGTGTAATGAAAATACCTGTGTGCGCCCAGAATCAGACCTCGAGGGCATGACCCGGCAGAGCGGCAGTGAGTGGGTGTGAAAGCGAGAGGAGTAATAGAGAAGGTAGGAATGGAGGAATAAAGCCAGGACTCACTCTGGCAGGTGGGGATGTCACAGTAGCGCCAGTAGATGCCATCTTCGTGATCCGCGATGTAGCACCATGGCTGAACGTCCCCATCTGGATTCCTAGAACAAAAAAAATGGGTTTGAAACTCAACAGTCAAAGCATATGGCAGTAGAGGTGGGCGATAATGACAATGGCTTAAAAATGTTGATAGACTATGACATTATATTATAGCAGTTATGTAAAGTGGGTAGCATTCATTGACTGTGTATTCGTGATTCTCTATGATTCTGGGGTTTTAATGTTGGTTTTATCTTTGTAAGTCCGGATATGAGCTTGTAAAAATGGACCGATCAGATGGCTTCATTCACACATCGGTCCCTGGTACAGCCGAAAGGAACAAAGGCCCATATAAGGTAATTGGCTCAAGCTGCTTATGTTAAAACCGGCTTCTTCCGCATTCAGCAAACACTATGGCACTCTGTTAGTCCACTAGAATACTGTGGATGGTATATGCGTCACAGCAAGCAGGTCGTAGGTTCAATTTTGTGTCAACATCGGCCTGTGTGGAGTTCAAATGTTTCTTTGAATGTTTGGGTGGGTTTCCTCCAAGCGCTCTAGTTTTACCCGCCACTCCAAACCATAAACTAAAGATGAAATCCTCCAGCTCTGGTTGCCCTGACCAAGCTAAGCAAGTAACATCTTGAGTTTTTACACCAGTTTAAGGTTTCTGAGTTGTATTAACTCCCAACACTGTGGATAGTGCCTCAAATTTGACTATTTTTTACAGTTCAGTTTTTATTATGCAGTACATTTCAGGGCTGGAACATTCCCAAAACATGTTGAACATTGTGGCCTCACTAATCTTACTGAGATCGCTCGTAGGGTCTGTTTGTAGATATATTTGAGCAATTTTAGATTCCTGATGGACACCCTTGAATGGAATCGGGAAGTGACCTGTACACATATGATAAATTGGTTTCCACGTATTTTCTAATAGGATTTCTAACCCTGAAACGCATCTAAAATGTTTTAATAGCTTAGAACTTTAATGACCAGAAAAGCATTTAGTTTTGTTAAGTTACAATCTAATGGTCGGGGATGAAAGAGTCACTCAGATGTGGTGAAGACAGAATGAAGCGAAAGTAAAAACAACAGAGACAGCCCATCGTCTCAAAAGTTGGCTGTAGTATTGCAAAGTGTTTCTGCCTAATCCCTGCGTCAGTCATGCAGGATCACCCCACAAGCGTGTTGTCTTTGCCTCTTCCTCTTCTCGGGCATGTCAATCAACCCAGTGCTGCTCAGGGGGACTCCAACTCATCTATTGTCATTTCTGTGTCTAACTATGCCAATGTTTTATATTGAAACAGATTTAAATAGAGGATAAAATAATGAACAGGTACATTATGGAACAGGAAGAGATTATATGGAACTTTTAAGGACATTCATTAACATTTATTGGTCGTCCCGCTCCCTATGGCCCAATGGCTTCTATATGTTTGCTATCATTGCATTTCCTGTAATTGAACAGTTTGATTCTTTGATCTGTAAAGTCCTCCAAGACGACTGCTGCTGTGATTTAGGGCTATACAAAAATAAACTGAATTTAATTGTTCTTTTTTTATCTTTATGTCTGTAAAAGATGATCTAAAGATGTGCCTAACTAAAAACTAGCAATATAACCAAACTTTTTTGAGAGTGAGGAGACATGGATATTATACATTTGATTTGTTGTGGTTTGAAAGTTTGAGGTTTTTAATCACAATACTACACAGTTTTTAAAAAAAGAAACAGAATTATGTGTTTTTCAAAGTAAACAAATTGCTAACGATTTGCTTTTAACTCAATTGCGACTAATTTAGCAAGGTATTTTTCAGTGGAGCAGATGGGAAAGTTGGTGTAAAACGTTGGGTGATGGGCCGAGACTTTTGTTTGAAGTCGCAACGCTTTTGAACCTCAGAGTGATACTTCTTAACCCATGACGGGGCACCGACAGCCCCCCCAGTGCTTTTCAGTGTCACTTTCAATAAGAGACAGAGACTGGGGAAATCTAAATGACTTGGCTAAATCACCCCCAGGCCAGGGCTCTAACATCTACACAGAGGCTGATAGAAGAGCTGAACATTGTACTTAACTTAGAGTAATGCATAATAAAGTATAAATGAAACACGTTAAAGGTGATGTCAGCAACCTAAATTTTATTTCAATTTTAAAAGAATGCATATTTCTGACCATGGGAGACTCTACTATGTAAAGTAAAAGTATATTTCAACAATAATATGTTTAATACAGTCCCACCCCTTGGCATGAATTCGACCAATAAGGAGGGGCCTCAAAGATCCAAAATAATCAATAGAATCAGCACACTGAGTCTCAAATACACTAACCATTTTGATTAAATAGTGGCATGGGCTTATCAACACAAGTATTTTGCTATGATCCATCCCTTGATATATTTTCTACCTCAAGGCTAGACCACAAAAGTCCTATCTGAACAAAACATTTACTAAACGCTACATCAAATTGAAGTATGGTCCTTGGAATCTGCTCACAAAAGAACAAACTATTCCATTTTAAAGCAATATTTCCTGATGAATTTGAGCTATGACACACACGTCTGGAACATCTTTTACAAAGCTGACGTACTTTTTTTCAGGCCTGAGTGTAATTGCCAGACCTTCTCCTCATCTCTTTTGACAAGGGTCATTGTAACTTTGTGAAAAAGGCCCGCAGCGCTGCCCTATCCCGTTTCGCCCTTTGTGAGTCGAGTTGTGAAGGGCGTTTCCAACTCTTTTCTTCAACTATCAAAAACACTATCCTGAGTTTCCTCCTCTCTTTTCACAGTCAGAATGAGGAGTTGACAAAGATGTGTCTCCTATTGACGTTTTAGCTCCTGAATTTGGTTTTAAGTGCCTTTAAGCTTTTCTTTATCACAGCAACAATCTGTTTTTTATATGTGAAAAACAATTGGCTGGGTAGAATGAACTGTGATGACGAGAGGAGGCCATATGAGTGGAAATTATTAAAGCAACATGTTTTGTGGAGATTTGGTGGAAGGGGATTGTCCGTTTGTCATATGTTCTGCATTGAGCACATCATTAACTTTTCATACTTTATCCTGACAAGTAGCTTGCTGTGGTCCTCCGCATCTATCTTTCTAACCTCTTAAATTTTTAACCGTCTTACACAATATGATAACATCTTCGGTTACAACTGACGCCGGGACGCTAGATTTGTTTACCTACAAACTTTGGCATTGTATCAAGGATAAAGATATGTTTGTGACTCCACCCGGACACCTGTTTGTGAGGCCTAAGGCGTTGGTTAAAAAAAAACAGCACACACATACACACACAAAACACAAAAATGGTTTTATCCATCCTAAACTGGGTGGTGAAAAATGTGGGGAAAAAGATCAAAATATTATCCCACTTATATATTTTATTTCCTTTTTCTATCCAAAACAAACACATAATGTATCAATATATGAACATAATCCAGACATTCGTATTTTAAGAAAGATTTCTTGAGCTGCTCTTTTCTCTATCTATGACACACTGCACAAAATGCAGAGAGCAGAGCGTCAGTATCGCTGTACTATTTATTATCCCTGAGAAATCCACATGTAGAGTTGGCTATTTATGCAAAGAATTAAGCCTCATCAAGCCTTGTTTAAAGCTCGCTGTCGGCAAAAACACAGAAAAACGTGTCTGTGAGAAGATAATTAGTTTCTAAATTCACAAAACTTTGATTATAGACAAAGGTGAGAGTGAGGGAGAGGTACTTGCATGCATTATAAAAGATGGGACACTTTTTGAAATGCTGCATGGTGCTAAAACTAATGGTAAAGTGAAGTTATACTGTATTGTCTCTGTAGGGAAATCCGTCCTCTGCATTTCACCCAATGCCAGTGACACGATTCGCATCTTTTGAGAATCTATAATGGTCATACTGGTCTTTCGAGATTTGGCACAGCCCTACTGTTATGTTGACAGATGACCAAAGAAATAAGAATAAACTAAACTAACTCTCCACTTCTCTAGTAGCAACAAGAGATATATCAACAACTGAAAGATGACTCTCAAGGACTGAGACTCATCCGTGACCGCGATAATTTACCGCACTTTTTAAACACCCCTTCGAGCAACACCTGGGAATTAAAACCATCAGAATAACTGAAAAGAAGGCTCCAGACAAGACCACCCGGATAATGGGAAAGCCAGCGGCAACTTTGATCGCTAAATGATGTAGTGAGCGTATGAGATTTCTCCTCCGAGCCCTTCAATATAAAGACACATCACAGCTCACTGTCTTCCACCGGTACATAGGTTAAAAGTTGAAAAAAATCTTGGGAATATCGTCCGTATGAGAGATCCAAGCGGAGAAACAGAACCAGTCCTGCCCCAGGTCACTGGTGTGTTTTTGGGACTGATTAGGGAAAGGTGGGGGTGGTGGATATGTTTGGAATGGAAAGGATTAAAGATCAGAGAGGACACCGCTGCAGGGAAATACATTTATGTAAGTCACAAATAGGTAAAAGGTATAATTACAAGTGTCATGTTAGTTTGTGGTTAAATAGCCTACACCAACAGATTCCCATAATAACATGTTTGAACACAAAACTAATGAAGAATTGATTTGAATGTGTTGTAATGGAGATAGACGGCCTTGACAAATGGACAATCTGATCCAGGGATTGTGTTTTTGTAAATTCAAAGTATTGAAAGTACTTAAGAATTCACAATATACAAACCAAGATCATTTTGGCAGATATGTAAGAAAAGAAATACTAAAAAATTAAGGTAATATAATAGATAGATAAGAAAAATAATGGCTCAGAATAGTCAAGGTCACAAGAAAGATTTTGACTATAATTGCCAACACTAAAAACTTGTGATGTTGTCCATTCTAAGCGCCTGGAGGGATCCTGCATAATGATGTTAACCGTCCTTGATCTCTGTCACCTGTGTATTGACTTTTTCAGCTTCCTGTTGAAGAGAAAGCACACAACTTTTTCTCATGTTTCCACCATTGAAACGGTATAACGAAAGCAGATCTTAAACTAATAAACTAAGAAATATGAGGGAATTGGCATTTATTTTCCACAAAATGTATTCTGATC